GGAAGGTACCATCCCCTGAAGGCCTGGTCGCCACAAGCTTCATGTCCTGAGTCTGGTCTTCCCTGTCCTGCTCCAGGTCAGCGTGATCTTCACTGGGTAAAAGCCCAGGGCCCAGCACCTAAGTGTGGCCTCATGATCAGAGATGAAGTGGTTGGTCACATGTGCTAATGGTGAATCCTTGAAAAAGGGTCAAAGACAATTCAGTCTTTGATTGTTTTCCCATTATCCATTAAAGGGAGGCACATTAACCACCATGGAATGGACAGGACAGTTGGCAATGGGAAATGAGAAAATCAAATATTAGCTTAATCCATAGGAGTCTGTAAGGAAATGCTATTTTAAAACAGGTTCTGGCCCACACATGTTGGGGGCTTCAGGCGTCAGTAGCAGGGAGAGGGGCTTTTAGTCCCTCACAGGTAAAAGCAGGGTCAGGAGAGCAGCAGGCCTGGGACAGAGGTTTAGGTCAAAGTCTGACAGGAACAAATTTGGAGAGAACTTGATATCCATGCTGGGTTCCTAAGAAACTGCTGTTCACTTATTTCCTTTAACCTTTTTTTTTTCTTTTTTTCCTATTTTCCCACCCTAAGCTTCATGGTTCCTAAATGTCCCAGAAAGCCCTGGGCAGGGTGAAGGATCCAGAGACTCAAGACTCTCAGCCTCCCCATCAGAACGCCATGAACTGGGGGGAGGGTTGTTAGATGGGTTCCATCCTCCCTCTCGTCCTTAGGGACACCACCGGGGGACACAGTCCGCGCCTGAAGGGAGTCCGGGGAGGCTGCCCCACGCCCTCGCTCCCTGTGCCCAGCAGCATCTCCTCTGGTTCTCCAGGGATCTGTGGAGGAGAGTCCACGCACCCGGCCTCCCTGGGGCCTGGAGGCTCCACCACCTCGGACCGGCCGCCTGTCCCTCCTCTGTCCTGCCACAGGAAAGGAGCGCAGGTCCCCGTCAGGAACCTGGAATCCGCTCTCAGGAAGCTGGAATCCACCCGTGGCCAGCGGAGCGCTGACACCAAGCAGGAGACTTGGGGGTTCCCTCCCCAGCAGCTGATGGCGCCCGCGGGGAGGGATGGGTGAGACTCCGGCCCCGCCCGCGGTCTGCCCGCCCCCTTCGTCTTTAAGAGGGTCATTGGCCCAAACAGGTGTCAGCATGGCTCAAATTTAAACTGAAACAAAGTACAAACACTGGGGGCTCTCCCCTCGGTACGGGGGTCCACTGGGTGTAGGTGACCAACGGGGAAGAAAGGTAAGGAAGGGGGAGGAAGGCAGAAATCCAAAGGGAGTGAAGTCCCACGCCCGCAACCAGGATGATCCTCTCCTCCCTCCGCAAAGGCAGTTTTCGCTCCCGACCCCGCGTCACGCCGAGTACAGCAGGGCCAGGACCTCCCAAAGGAGCAGGAGGAGGGTTCAGGTCACCGCGAAAATGCTGGTTCCCTTTCGGCTCTTTGGTGGAAGTAAACTAACTCGGATTAACTTCTATAGAACCAGATACCCAATGAAAACCGACATTGAACAGTATCATCCGTCTGCAGGCAGAACAAGCTGGAAGAGATTGCAAAGGAAAAGTGAAACGTATGAAAAAGCCCCGCTTCGATGGACTCCCCTGTGCTTGTTCCCACTCTGCCGCCCCCCACACCCTCTTTGTCGTCTTCCGAATCCCAAATACTGCCCTCAGTGCTCACATCCTGAGAACCAAACCTGGAGACGCTGGGAACTTTCCCTGAGCACCCTCATCTGCCACAGGACACTCTTAGCTGCTGTCTTCCCAAGGGCTGGCTGACACACACAAAGTAACAGAGAGAGACAGAGAAAAGGAACCTCACTCTCAGCCCACTCTTCTTCCTTTTCTAGAATCTTGCTCCCTGAGCTGGACTCTTCTCTTCTCACTCTCTTACCTTAGGCTTCTCCCCCAGAGTATGCTTCCCCATGGGCTTCTAGAAAGAAACTTATCCCACAGATCTCAAGGACAAACAATGGAAACTGTCAAGGACACAAAACTGATGACTGAAGGCTTCAGATAGGGGTTCACTTATAGGCAGTTTTGTTTCATTATCTTTTTTTTTTTTCCACTATCTTCCATTTTAATAATTACCCTTTGGCCACTTATATCAAACTGACCTTCAGCCGGCTTCACAAAGCAGGCAAGTTACGGGGTTCACTTCATCTAAGAATATTTGTGTGACTTTGGGATTGAAGCAAATTATAATTTATCCTTATAGCATATCCATGAATTCATCTATGTACTTCACAGACAGATCAACATAGAGTGTGGCTCAGGAAGCACAATGTATTTGCATGCTTTAGTAAGCAGTGTGTACAAATATTCACCAACACATTTTATTGTCTATATTACAAAATATCCAAAAATGTCCCAACCAGTTCCAATGCTTTGTCTTTGGAGATGTGTTTTTATAACAACTTTATTGAGATATAATTTACATACCATACATTCACTCCTTTAAAGTGTACCAGTCAATGGTTTTTAGTATATTCACAGAGTTGTGCGATCATTGCCAAAATTAATTTTAGAACGTCTTCTTGACCCCAAAAAGAAATTCATACCCATTAATAGTCATGCCGCATTCACTTCCAAAACCCCTAACCCTAGGCGACCACAAATCTACTTTCTATCTCTAGGGATTTGCCTATTCTTGAATTTCAGAAATGGAATCAATATGCAGACTTTTGTGACTGGCTTCTTTCACTTACCATATGTTTTCAAGGTTCATCCACACTGTAGCATGTATCAGCACTTCATTCCCTTTTATGGATGAATAAACTCTATTGCATAGATACGCTACATATCGTTTATCCATTCATCTCTTGATGGGAATTTGGGTTGTTTTTCTCCTTTGGTTATTATGAATAATGGTGCTATGATGTAACTAGTGCCTTTGGTGTCATATTTAACTTTCATGAATGAACTATATTTAAAAAATCTTTGAGTGGTATGATGTGTACGCTAGGATGGTTTTCTTTAGTCTTTTGCATGGATCTCATGGAAACATAAATGTTACAGATCCTCTCAGAAAAGTGTGCAAGTACAATGAAATATAAAAATCTAATATAAAACGTTGGTGCATACACAGATCCTCTAAAGTCTTAAAGACCTGGGTTTTCAGTCCTATTAAGAGGCAAAGCCAGGAAGAAGACATTTTGAGTAATCATTTCACCAGCCCATGATGCCACTCCATGTATTTGTGACTATTAACTGACGTGGACGAAGCTGGACTCCATAACAGACTCTCGGGGGAATAAGTGGAAAGATGTTATTTACCAGTCACTTGTTCATCCAACCAAATCCGAGTGCCTGTAACATCCTGGATAAAGATCTACTCTTGCTCTAGGAATTGATACTTGTCATTCTTTCTCCAGCCCCCATTTCCTCTACCCCAGCATGTGAACTCTCTTCCTACCTTAGGAGAATTCCACACTTAAAAAGTCTTGGTAGGAGGCAGAAACCACCCCCTTCATAAAAGAGGAAAACTCACTTTCCCAAACATTCTTGCAGTTGGACATGGGCATGGGGCTGAGGCCCCACCAGTCAGATGCCCACATGCTGGACTCTGACTCAGGACATGGTGACACAGAGAAGCTGGGACTGTGCAGAATGCACTTTGGCAAGGGCAGTGTGAGTGGCAGTAGTGACATCCAGTTGCAAGAAGCAGCAGTGAGAATTGTCCTGGCCACAGGGCCCGATGTCCAGCATCGGGGGTGTCGGTGGTGTTGGCAGAAGCATCTGACGTTGCAGAAGCCACAGTTTCTATATGAAACCCAAACAAGAGAAGGACTGTGGATTTTCTTCCTGGCTGTGTAGCTTCAAGCCTCGTTCTGTAGCTTTCCTCAAAATGAAATAAGTCCCAATATCACACATATAAATTGCTTTGTGTTTAAATTATACAAATTTAGATTCTGTTGTTTGCACCAAGAAGTAAATGAGAAATCAGTGTGGCAGGTTTTCAGAGCAAGCATTCAGAGTTTCTTTCTGCTGAGCTGTGAGCCACTTCCTAAATCTTCCACCTGGCTACACCTCATGGTACAGAAATGACATGTATCTTCCAACATCACATCTCATAACTGATATTTGTCCTCCTTTTTCTTTCCTAGGAAGAAAACCCACTTAAGTGTGGTTTTAAGACCCCTCATTACCCCGGGTACTACTCCGATCACTGACCTCAGTGGTTCCAAATCTGGATGAGCACCAGGAGTGCTTGTGGGACTAGTTACAATACACTCAGACCTCTCATCAGATAGATCATCTCAGAATACCGGGTCCAGAGCCCAGAAACCACTTACTAACACACTCTCCAGGTGAGGCTGATGCAGAGCCATGTGGGAATCCCTGGTCTACATTCTTACTACTAAAAGTGTGATCTGAAGACCAGCAGCATCAGCACCAATCTTGTTATAAACACAGAATCAAATGCTCTACTCTGACCTTCTAAATCTTAATGAGATTTCCAGGTGACTCTTTGCATAGAAAGTTTGAGACTGCCTGATCTTGCTCCGCCTTCTGCCAGAGATCTGTAGTCGGCTTTTGGCATGTGGTCTGATCAGATGGCTTAGCGCTGGAGGGTCCAGGGTTCAGTTCTTGTTCCTGTTTCTTCCATAGGTAATCACACTCTTGGAAGTCTTAGCCATTCTCAAGGCTTTAAATATTATTTATACGGTGTCACCTCCCAGATCTATTTCTCTAACCAATATTTCTACTAATGTCCAGACTGGTATTTCCAACTGCTACCCACTTGCATTTCCTTTTTGTTTTGTTTTGTTGTTTACTGTACTTTAGACGAAGGTTTACAGAGCAAATTAGTTTCTCATTAAACAATTAATACACATATTGTTTTGTGACATTGATTACCAACCCTACATGTCAACACTCTCTCCTTCTCGACTTTGGGTTCCACATGACCAGCTTTCCTGTGACCTCCTGCCTTGCTGCCCTTTCCCCTGGGCTGGTGTGCCCATTTAGGCTTGTTTTGTTTTATGGGCTTCTCTAATCTTTGGCTGAAGGGTGAACCTCAGGAATGATTTCAGTACTGAGTATAAAAGGTGTCCAGGGGCCATGCATTTCTAATAGCTCTGTTGTACAAACGGTTGCTAGGAGTCAGAACCAACTGGATGGAAGCTAACAACAAGCCTGCGGTAACTTGTTACAGCAACAAGGAAAATAATACACTATGCTTATAGTCTGTAGTTTGTCTCTCTCTCTGCACAAACATATGCTCCACAAGGCCACACTTTTTGTTTTTACTTCACTGGTGCTTCCCAGATGCAAAAATAGCGTGTCACTCAACAAATGTCAGTAGAATGATCAATGTAGTATAGAGCACTTCCTTATTCTAGAGATAGTGTCTTTATTAATGCAGCCTCAGACCAAAGGCTGTTTTGTGGTAGCTGTAACACAACATCCACTCACACTGACATTAATGCCACCTGGACTTTCTCACAAGAACTGTTGTCTCCTCCCTCCTTCTAGCCCATCCCATCACCCACATCCACCCTTCTGCACACTACAGCACACAATTTCATTTCCATTTTCATGAAAGAACCATCCTTGGCTGACGGGTATTATTTTACAACCAACTGCGAATTTAAATTAGTCTCTGCTTGATGAATCCATGAATTTGGAACAGACTGGAGCCAGCACTAGGATTACAGAGCTAAGGGCAGGGAGAGTGGGGTGGGTGAGCTGAAAAGGATGGAAACAAAACAGAAATTTATCTAAGATGAATAACTATTTGATTCCTACTCTCTAAAAAAGGTCAAAGAAAAGATGAAAAGATTCATCCACAAAACAGTCCTAGAAAGAGGGCAGGATCTGGATGAGTCTGAAAATTCATCTTTCGTTACCAGAGACTCCCATGTGCAGGGGCTGCCCTGGGCCTTGTGGGACATTGACAAAATGACTCCTGCAGCTGTCAGAGACAAGGGACACCCAGAGCAAATGACCCAGAACTCACATACAAGAACAGGTATAATCCTCTAAACAAATAAACACACAAAAAATAATCACACAAATGATGCGGGCCAAGGACCAGGCTTAGGCCTGAGAACAGGATGACCTGGCCACACAATGCCCTCACTGCCCACAGCAATAGGGATAAGACAACGCCCAGGCAATGTCTGTGTCCTTGTGACCACAGGTCCTAGCAGGACAAAGTTCTACTGAAGGGACAAGGACAACAGAGATGCGAAGATGACCCAGCCAAGGAGTAACCACATCAAAGCCCACACTGTCCTGAGCACTGACTGGGCAAAGGCTCTGTCCACACTCGGCTCCTCCACCGCCTTCTCCTGACCCTGCCTATCACAGACTCAGCACAGTAAACGTGCATTCTGGGAACATTCTCAGGTTTTCATTTATTTTCTCTCTTAAATTTTCAGAATTTTCGTCCCCTTTAATTAACCGATCAACCCCACTTCATGGCAAAAATCTGAATAATCAAACTCTTTCTCAGATTCTCATTTTCAATACAGAAGTGAGAAATTGCAGCTCAGAGCAACAGGAAGTTACTTCAGGGATGGAGACCTTCCAGCCCCACTTCTGCTGGAGCAGGGAATGTCGATCATGATCAGTGTGGGTGGGGAAGGGGATCTGGTTGGCAGAAGTGGGCTAGTTTCCCCCACATCCTCACATTTTGCTAAAAGGAACGCAGACACAGTCAGAGGCCCATTGCAGAATGAGAAGTCAGGGGTTCTTGAATTACAAAGCATAGCATGAACAAATCTGTATCACTCAGTCCCACATAAGGCTGCTGTCTCACGCTACAAAAGAAAGTAATCGAACAAATTCAGGTCAGTCACTGGAGGTGTTGACATTCTGAATAGCCCACCACATGCTCAAAAGGTCCAAATCCAAAGAATCCCCATAACCTAGTCGTGCTCCCACTGTCCCAATCCCTCCTCCATGTCAGGCCCCCCAGGGTCTCACCTTCAGAATCTGTGAAAGACATATCAGAGCCCTGGGCACTGTCGCTGCCTGGAAAAGAACAGGATCTGGTCAGAGCCCACAGGAGATGAGAATAGGAGAACAGGAATAGGAGAACAGGAACATTATCCCAAGGGTCTCAAGATCAGCCTCCCTCCCTCCACACTTACTTGCAGCTTGAGCATAGCTCCCTCCTTACCCACCTGTGGGAAGAAAGCATTCTGTGAGAGACTGGGGAGGGGACAGGACCACGAGATCCTAGAAGACCTGGCTAGTCCTGGATCCCAGGGAAGCTTCCAGAACTATGACTGCAGACCCACGGCATGAAAAAGAAACACAAGCAAAGATGTTCAGGGACTGGACCAACCTCCTGAAGTCTGTCCTCAGCAAGAACCTTCCCCTGTGACCTGTGACTATTGGGAATCAGGTCTGCATCACCAGAACCATTAAGGTGAAAGATTTGCCCTTCATTCTCACATGTGCTTTACAAAAGTGTAATTGTCAGCACAAAGGGTCCCAGACTGGGTCAGCATGTACGTGGATACTACCTCCCCTAATGAGGCAGGAGAAGGCAAATCTCCTACCTGGGACTTGAAACCCCCCAGTGGGACAAGGAAAACTCAGACCCCACCCTCATCTCTACCTGAGCTTTTCTTCCTCCAGATCACTGCTCCAGCCACAACAACCACCACAACTCCAAGGAGAACCAGGCCAGCAACAAATCCTATGATATCAGGCTGGGAAGACAGTTCTGGAAAGAGAAGGGAGGTGAGGAGCCCTGACGCGTTGGAGGTCTCCAGAAGGGCTACTGCTTTCCCTGAAAAGAGGCTCTGCCCTCGTCTCCCTCCTTACCCCATCTTAGGGTGAGGGGCTCCAGCAGCCCTTCATGCTGCACACGGCACATGTATCTCTGCTCCTCTCCAGAGGGCACCACCACAGCCGCCCACTTCTGGAAGGTCCCGTCCCCTGCTGGCCTGGTATCCACAAGCTCTGTGTCCTGGGTCTGGTCCTCCCCGTCCCGCTGCCAGGTCAGGGTGATCTCCATCGGGTAGAAGCCCATGGCCCAGCACCTCAGTGTGGTCAAATGGTCAGAGATGGAGTGGTGGGTCATGTGTGTCTTTGGGGGGGTCTGAGTTAAAGGGTCAGAAAATTTAGAAACTTTTTGATACCTCTCACAGAGTACTTGAGTTAGGGTCATGTGACCATCTGAGAATGCACAGGACATTGGGTGGGGGGATAAAGGGCAAAATCCAGACACCAGCCTGGACCAGGGGTTTGGGATAATTTCCTATTCTTTGGAACGTTCCAGGATCAGGGTGAGACAGCCCTGGTTAGGAGGCTCCAGGTCTCTGAGCGGAAAATCAGGGACTTCTGGCCCTGACCTGGGTGAAGGCAGAAACGCAGAACAGCTGGATACTGGGTGTGGTGCAGAGAACAACGGCTGAGAGAAAGAGTTCCCCGTAGTTCACAAGGCCACCCCAGGGTCAAAGGAAATAGCTGATCAGTTACTTCAGGGATCATCTCCCCCTTTATCCTCAGAGAGAAAAATTATCCCTGAGAGAAAGGAGAACCCTTTGAGTAAATCACTCTGGTACAGGATCTGAACTTCTCCCTCTCCTGATCCATGGCAGGGGGGTATCCAGGCATAGATCGCATTTTCCTACCCTCTTTGTGGGACACCGGCTGAGGGAACAGTCCCAGCCCAAAAGGAGACCAACAAGCACGCCGCGGCCCCTCGTACTTACTCGCTGCAGAGTCTTCTTCCCTTTCTCCAGCTATCTGCCCAGCCACTCCACGCATCTGCCCTCCAGGTAGGCCCTCCAACGCTCTGCCTCCCGGCCCATCTCGAATTTGCCCTTTGAGAGCTGAGCCGCGGTGTTCGCTGCAGTCCATGAGCTCAGGTCCTCGTTCAGGGCGAGGTAATCCGCACCATCGTAGGCATACTGATAGTACCCTCGGAGGAGGCACCGGTCGGGGCCCTCTTCGCAGCCGTACATGAGCGGGGTAGTGTGAGACCCTGACCCCGGTCGGGCAGTCAGCCCCACCCCCGCGGTCAGCCCCGCCCCCGCGGTCAGCCCCGCCCCCGCGGTCAGCACGGTGATTGGTCAGAGCCCGTTTGGTTCTAAACTGAAAACGAAACCAGAACGAATCCCCGCGGCTCTTCCCGGGTCGGAGGGGTGAATTTCGGCCCCGGAGACCCGGGGCGACCCTTCCGTGGGGACGAGGGGACCCGTGACCTACGACCCTGACCGGCGTCACTCACCGGTGTCGCTCTGGTTGTAGTAGCGGAGCGCGGTCCGCAGGTTCCTTTGGAAAGTCTGTGCGTCGCCCTTGGCGATCCGTGTGTTCAGCTCCCAATACTCCGGCTCCTTCTGCTCCATCCACGGCGCCCGCGGCTCCATCCTCAGATTCGCGGTGTCGCTGTCGAACCGCACGAACTGCGTGTCGTCCAAGTGGTGGGAATTATGTTTCCTTTTTGGAACTGGGAACATTTGTGCCTGAAGGCACCAGAGAGAGATTCACTCATGACCTGGCTGGTTTTGTTAGATACCAACTTAGTGTATATCCATATCCTAGACAGTTGGAAGTCTGATGCAATCTATGTGAGAAATAATAAGGGTCACTTCATTATAAGTGAGTCTAAGGCACCTGACTTGAGGTCCATAAGCCATCAAGAGCAATGCTGTCAATAGAACTTTCTGTGATGAAGGAATTGTGTATCTGTGCTGTTCAATACACTACAGGGTCGCTATGAGTTGGAATCGACTCAACGGCACACAACACAACAACAACAGCTGTGTGTGGCTAGTGAGCACTTGAAAAGTGGCTAGTGTGACTGAGCAGATGAATTTTACTTTATTAATTTAAATAGGCACACTTGACTAGTAGCTACCATATTTGACGCTATGTATCTAGTGTGTTCTGAATTTTCAATCTCTCCCCCAGAAGATACTGTGTGATTTACGGATTGAAGTATATTAAAATTATCTTTATTAAAAGCCACAGATTTCTCTATGTGGGTCTTAGACATATCCTTAAAATACAGAGTGCCCATAAAAGTTTAACTAATAGACATTTAACAACTACACTGTACAGACATTAACCAAAACATGATTTATCACCTCAGGGTTAAAAATGTTCAAAAATATCCATCACAAAAGAGTCTGGCAAGATGGCGCTCTAGGCAGAAGCACCACGCCGTCCCTCCACAGCAAAGAACCAAAAAACTAAGCCAAACAGAGAATCAACAATCCTGAAACCCTAGAACATCAAATGAAGAGATAAAGAACTCAGCCGAACACCAAACAGAGTGAGAATACT